TTAATTTTCGTCAATTAGGTGAAAAATATGTGTACTAACGGTACTTAACGATTTTGGAAACTTGAATGCACATTTTTCAATTATTTAATAGACTTGCAGCCTACAAAGCTTTTAAACTACAACTCGTTATATGCAAGTCGAAATTCATATGCTGTTTATCAACTAAAATTTGGTTGCTATTTTGTACGATTTTATGAATATTCTGTTTTGTGTGTTAGTCCATATGATTCTTTAAAATAACTTAAAAATTTGTATTTCACAAGTATTGAAATGCTGCAAAATAGACACAACGCAGCAGTATGGTTCTTTAACTTTGGTTATGAACGCCAAAATCACTCCAGCTTATACATACCGAATTTCACGCTTACTCAGCTTACTATTTGCAGCTGCTGTTGGCCTGTCCTTTTTGGGAAGTATACAAAAAATTATGGAATATGTGCCTTATTCATTTACATGAAGTGTAATTAGTGAAAAAATGCGCTTTTTTGTGTTTATATAATATAAACCATATAAACTTTAAAATATCTTAAGCAGTTGCTCAAAAAATTAACTTTAATTGAATATGGCATGCTGACACTTGTGTTTAAGTAATTCATTGATACATGACAGCTATATATGTATGTATGTATGTACAACATAATTTCCAAACCATCATTTATTTTATCGCACATCACTTGGCATACTGATTTGCACTGGCAACTCCAGCTGTCTGGAACATTTTTTCACACTTAAATACTTGTATGTAATATTTGTACATAAATATGTCTTTACATGTACGAGGGCTGCTATATAGCTGGCTGGCCTAGGCAACACTAAGTGTTGCCAGGTGCAATCTGACATTTCCATAGGAAAGTTTGACATTTTTTAGCATAACATCACTCAGCACGTTTTGTCATTTAATTGTGAATTGTTTTATTTACAGGGAATTAAAAAATTCATCTCGGCCAAAAAATGGAATTAACTCGTGAACATTTTCGTGCGATCATTTGAACTGCTAATGCAAGACCGTCATGTAACATACCTTCAGATAGAGGCATGCCTATGCATTTCTTCCACCAGCATACATTCGATATTGCATGAACACCTGGCCGTAAAAAAGGTTTGTTCTCGTTGGATCCCGCACAATTTGACAATCGCTCAAAAAAAGGCTCGTGTGGATTGGTGTAAAGAAATGCTGAAAAAATATGATCGCGGTGCTTCAAAAGACGTTTATAAGATCGTCACAGGTGACGAATCATGGATCTATGCGTATGAGCCCGAAACAAAACAGCAATCGACCGAAACAAAATAAAAAAAAATTAAAATAAAAAATAACAATTTTCGTTGATAAATATTCGTATTTTTATTATTAAGTCAGAAATATATATAGCAGCCCTCGTATATATATAATATATTTTCCTACCAAGTGTTTTCCATATATGCCTTACAAGTGAAATTCATTTGTGCCATCACTCAATTGAACTACGACGGCTTCATTTACCAACGAGTGTTGCTTAAATTAAACGTTTTTTTTCATATTTTTTCTTATTTTTGTTGCACGGCATACAACAAACGACCATGCTGTGATTCGCTTTGTTCCATTATGCGAGCGTATTTTGTATGGCGTGTAATAAAACAAAGTGCACAAAAGCAAAAGTAAGAAACAGCAAGCAAACGTAAAAATCAAGACTAAACTGAAAGCATGAATATGTGCAGAACTTGTTACTATACGACAAAGTGTTTGTGTTTTGCCAGTTGCTTTTTGGCATACAATGCTGCTAATATACTTATATTATATGCTTACATTAACAGGTACGAATCATTGTATGTATGTACATACATACACATGTACATTTATAGTTTCAGTACTCATTAATAATATTTGTGTGAACGCAAGGAAGAAAGCAAATATCAGCAAGTTGCGGTAATGAACAACATAATAGATGATTTTTGCGTTGTTATAAATATGTTTATTTCACATACAGAAAAAGGACATTCGTCAGGAGTTGTTAAGGAGCAAGTGATTTATATGAAATTTGGCACAAGATTAGTGCATTAATTAATAGCTACGTTCATTTGGTAAAGTAGCATGCGATAGCGATAATCAGTCAAAAATTATGAAATTGAGGGCTGGTTAGATTTTTTTGTTAACATTTTAATTAGCTTGCTTAAATGTAATATGATTATTAACAAACTTATGTTAACATATGAAAAAAGGACATTCGTATGTGGTGTTAAAGGAAACATGTAATTTGCTTGTTATAAGACATATGCTTAGTAGAACGATAGTTACGTTCATTTTGAAAAGTATAGTTAAATAGAACTGATTTAAAATATGATAAGTTAAAGTGTATAATGTGTTACGAAAATAAGGGCGTTTTGGAATTTTTTTGCAAACGCCAACATAAATAAAGCCAAATGAAAAAACTTTTTTTTTTTTCAAAAAACAAAAATGCACGTTATTTTTTGAACACACGTATGCGGCTAACCTCGCCCATGTAATACAGCAGCAAAATTTCTATAAATTTATTTCGTAAATCCCACCTTTGATTTAAAATTTTAAGTTTTTAAGCCTAAATTTGATCAATAATGACGTTGACATAAAAAGAATATTCTTGGTGTGACAGTATTTAAGCCAGTTATTTTAAACTTTGCACGAACTTCGTACAATAAATGCCACGTTCATTTACGAAATATAAACTTGAAATCCTAAGCCATTTGGACGTCATAAAATTTTTTTGTAAATTCCTTAGAACTATTTGCTGTCAGCAATTTCGTATTGCAAACATTGCTCGTTTACGCTTGACTTTCGCAATTTAATTGAAATGTATACAATGCATTTGACAGCTTAACTACAAAGCAGGATGAGTAGAAAGCTGTAAACGTACCAAAGTGACCACATACACACATATGTACCAGCAGCATACAGTAATATAAACTGAATAAGGCAATTACATACAAAATATAATATATAACTGAAATTAAATACCAAGAGTCAAACACAACGGAAAAACAGGATGAAAAAAATGTTTTGTGACACATAACGGATGTCGTGAATATTTCAACTATGTAACAAAAAAGGACAATGAAAACGAAAAGGAATTGAAACAAAGCCAATAGCTGCTTTTAACAGAAGTAAATGGTGGTTTTTGTTGGAAATTGCAGCGACGAAAAACTTTTGTCGATTTTTCTTTAAGATAAATAAATGCAGCGATTGCACTTTTGGAAAGGATGTGGGCGTACATATCGGAAAAGTAACGAAATTAAGTTGTGAAAAAGTTATGCGAGAGAAAATATGCAAGTCAAATTAGTGTAGGAGTAAGTATGAAAGAAAGAAATTACTTGCAATTGAGTAAAATCTGAATGCGACGGCAGCAATAAGAAAATTGAAAGTCATTAAAAGGGCAAGCAAGAAGTATGAAAGTATGCAGAAAATAGCGAGCATTTAGAAGCTGTGAACAGCTGTGCGGAGAATTACAAATATTATACTTAAGTGGACAATTGTGGATATAAAGCAGCAAGGGATAATGTCTCCGATTGCAGTAATTTACAATGAGTGGAAAATTTTATACTCGCACTTATGCAGACAATGGTGATGCGCTTGACCTACTTCTGCTGCTAAATGCATGTGAAATAGCCGGAGAAATTTCAAGGAGGTTAGAAGTGCACAAGATGATTAAGTAGACATTTTATACATAGGTAAATAAAAACTCTCTCTTTATACGAACGTCAAATACACAGCACACTGCTTTTATTAAATTTTACAGAGATTGGTTGATAGTTTAGTCCTTTTTTGTATAAAACAAAATGTTTTTTTTTTTTGTATAATACAAACAAGTTTAAAAATAAAATCCAATATGGAAATAATTGCAGCGGCAAACCAAGTTTTTCAACAAAGTTCATTGCAGTAATCGCGAATTCTAAACAAAAATTATGCAAATAAAATAAATATATATTTTTGCCGAACCTACAAATAAAATAACACACAAACTGGCTTTTAGATCGATTATTCACGCACACTACATTTTAAATTACATTTCACAATAATTGGTCACAAAATATATATTTCAAAATAAAGGATATTCCCACAAGTTTTACAGCCTGCATGTAATTCAGCTGAAACTCGTCATCAGCTTCACCACAGCAACGCTACGTTCACACACCAATTTGCAACGCAAATATGCAACAATGTGATGCGGTATGTAGAATGTGGCGAGCATGAACGCCGCAGGCATGAAGCTATTAAACTTTACAGGTACTTTATATGCTATTAACTCATAGTTATGAGTATGCTATACATATATTTGTATGTACTTAAACAATCATATTTTTCACGTTAAGCAATGACATTTTTTGTTTCAATGTAAATGTGTGTAGTTTTTATATGCTACATTACATTGAGCTGAAACTCATTATACGAATGTATATTGCCAGCAGCTAGGCCATATGTAAAGTTCAATTGCAGTGCACACATATAGCAGATATCGCACGAATATCCTTTTTCTCAAGCGCAACAAAAAAATTTTTTAAAGCATAAATTTACATGTTTAATTTGTATATTTTGAAATGCTCTACGCTGAAACTTATCATAAGAACGCCTACAGACTTTGGCTTTGCTTTGAGCGCTGATATTTTTATATATTGCACATATACTATGCATAATTATTATGTATGCAAGCTATTGCAAAAGGTTTTGTTTAAGTGCTTGTAAATTCTGCATGCTTCATTTTAGCATGTTGAAACTCATTATATGAACGAAGACTGCTTGTAGATATGCTATCGGCGAATTTCAGCCAAATCAGAGGTCTATATCAAAAGCCTCTCATATATCCTTTTTTCAGTTGTGTAAAAATAAAAAAATAAAAAATAACCCATATAGCGGTTTGGGAAACGTAATACGAATGAGTAAATAGTAAATGTATGCTAATTAAAATGGAAATAAAGTTTTTCCGCCCTTTTTCAAGAGCTTCTCTAAGATAAATAAAATTTTACAGTAATAGTTTATTTTCTTTGGTACTCACATAGCCAATTCATGCGCTCGGTGTACTCCACTTTCCGTTTCAGATCTTTGACGAGCGCACGAAAATCCTCATCGTTGAAATGACACTGTATGATTGTATTATTTAGCTGCACAATGTTGTATTCATTATTGCCATTGCTGCCCGGGCCGCCAGCGGTGGGTTGTTGTTGCTGTTGTGATTGTGCTTGTGGTGATGTAGTGTGAGTTGCAGCCAATTGCGGCTGCTTTGCGGTCGGTGAGGGTGTCAACGCAGCAGGCGACACCAGATTGCCGTTATTGGCAGCGTCCACTTGACCGCCCAAACTTAATTTGCGGCTGACATTAGCATTGCCGCCGCTACCAACACCACCAACAACGCCAGTATGCGCCGTCGGTGCACCTTCCACATTGCTGCATGATTTGCTCAATATTATAGTCGAACGATTGGCTATGGAATTGGCAGCTAACAAATGTTCACCCGCGCCGCCGCAACTACCGCGATGATAGGGAAATTTACCACCACCAATAGTGTAGTTGTTGTTCTTCAGCGTTACTTGCAATTGATTGCTCAACAACTGCTGCTGCAATAATTGCTGACTACTGGGATGCGTTGAGCAATCGCTGGCGCGCCGTCGCCGGTCCATACAGCCGCCTCCAATGCTGAATGGTTGTAGGAAAGCATTGCTATAGCTGCGCTGCTGCTGAGCTTGCGGCGGCTTTTGTTTGGCTTGACTAGATGCAGTGTTAGCGATGTTTACGGATACACCAGCGGTGGCGCTGCTCTGTAGTTGTGCCGCGGAAGCACTTGCTGACACTACGCTACTGTTATCGGCGGCAATATCGCTACTATTGTATAAGTTATTGGCATTGCGTAAATTCGTTTGCTGCTCGATATCGACGGCGTCTGCCCGCAGTAGCTGTTGTCCGACGTTGCTTTCCGTCCCCACAGCGCTGCCGCCGCTCATAATGATTAACTGTTGTGGCTGCGGCGCGGACTGTTGCTTGCAGTTGGCTGCAATTTTGCCGTTACCACGCTTGCTGCCGCGTCGACTTTGTTGTCGGCGCCGTATTACAGTGATGCGATGCTGCCGCTGTTCATAGAGCTGCACCAAAAGCTCCTCCAGCACAGCAAGAGAGTGCTGGGCCGTGAGGTTCTCGTCGCCGCCTGTTACCAGCACAGATGACTTACGGCGCACCGTAGCCGCAGTAAATGTGGCAGATGTCTCCTCCTCGTCGTCGTCTTCCAGAGAGCTGAGCGCAGTTTCTTCTTCTGCGTGCGGCACTTGCGTTTCCTGCACGCACGCGCTGACTACTGCTTGCGCACTACTTGTTAGCGCGCTATCAGGCGTTGTGTTCCGTTGGCTGGCTAAATCAGTTGCTGCTGCTGTATGCGTTGTGTGCGCTGCGGCTGCTGTTGCCGCTCCCACTGTCGCGCTGTCGTAAGCCGTCGTTGCGTTCTTTGTGCGATAACCTGACGCTGCTGCTGCACCTTTACGGTCCGTATCAGGTATGGAATGACGCAGCAGTATATCTTGCAGTTGTTTGCGCTGTTTTGCGGGACTATATGGGTTTATCAATTTGAAATCACCATGGATTTTAGCCAAAAATCGCACTCGCGACGCAATATAACCGATTTTACGCAACACGCGCACATCAGCGCTAATGCTAGTGTGATGTTTTTGTCTGTGCCGTCGACTACTGCTGCCGCCGCTAACGCCAGTAGCGTTACTCAACCCACTTACAGCGCTGCCGCGTCGACTATCGGCGTCAAGCGCCGACGCTATATGACACTCACCGGGCGCGTGTTCGCGACGCAATTTGGCGCGTCGTTTGGATGCGCTATATAAGAGGTGCGCGGGGAATGCGGGACGCGCACGAAATGTATACACTTCACTGTTTTCGTCGCTGTCGTCACTGCCGCTGCATGATGTATTCGCGCCCGAGGAGGATGTTGACGAAACCGAACAATCTGAGGCGCAGCTGAGCTGATAATACTCCGCCTCCAAATGTTCGGCCGCGAGGCTAAGTGTGATGGGCGTGTTGCTGTTGCTACTTAGACTGTTGTGTGTCGTGCTGGCTGCAGCTGATGCTGTGTTTATGGTTGTGGGTTCACTGCTCGCGGAGCGCTCACTTACCGCTGCTGCTGCTGTTGTGTGGTCGTCAACTGATTTGGACGCATGACCTTTGAGAGAAGCGTTGCGCTCAGCTTTACTATGCTGCGCGCTCGCTGTAGGCTCAGCGCTTGTTGCTGTTGTTGTTGTTGTACTTGTTGTTGTTACAACTGTATTGGCATCGGTGTCTGACGCTGTTGTTGTTGTGTTTATTGCTGTTTCTGGCGTTGCTTTTGGCGGTGTTGGCTGCGTACTGCTGCGGCAGCTGCTGTCCTTGTACATTTATAAGCCAAAAAGCCACAAGATCGTTCACGCAATCAAATGAATGTGTATGGAGATGAGTGCACGCGCGCTATTATGAGAGTGGATGCGCAAATTTGTGCGGGTTAGCTATAAACGCTATTGTGCGTAGTTGTTGAATGCGTTGGTGCGCGCGCGCGTTGCCCTAATAACAGCTGCGAGGCACAAGGTAAGTGAAACTAACGAATTACCGGCGGCGTCACTAAATATTTATATATATATTTATTTTTAATTTTTTTTTAAAGTAATATTTTTTAGTGTGCTTCAAATAACTATCACTTTTGTGTTTTTTGGTTTACTTTTATTTTTTTTTTTACCCGCTTTTTTCACACCGATTTTTTGCCCCCTCACTTAATTTTCGCTAAGCTTTTAACACTTATTTTGCCTTTGGCATACTTACACACTTGTAGCGCGCTCGAATTTCCGTACATATTAACACGCTACCTACTCCTTATGCACTTAGCCGCGCATTTATGCAATTATCCTTGCATTTGCTTTGTGCGCTTGCATTACAATTGTGCGCTTATAATGACAATGCCAACTCACAGCTGTGGCATATAGTATTTATATGCAAATTTTATAGTAACATTTAAGTTTCAAAATCACACACACACGCGCGCACTTCCTTTTAGTTTGATATCCTCTTTTTACATAGTTTTCATTCAATTTCTCTTGAACACAATGCAGTGGCTATGGCTCGCAGCATTTCCATTTCGCCTTTACATATTGCCGTCGACTCCACTCGCATTTACTACACTGCATATATGCGTGTGTGTTTGTGTTGGCTTTCCATATCCTTACCGCTGGCAATTTCGTTTATGCGCTCGACTTCCGTCTTCGTCGTCGTGTGGCTTATGTTAATACTGTAAGCTTCGTCCACGCCATGTCCCGCCTTAACGTGGCGAGGTCAGTGTTTAGCGTTAGTTCTCAAATTTACACACTTCAGCAGCAAGAATTTTGTCCTTCGTAGACGCGATGTGAAATCTGTAAGTATAAAAACGTGTTGTACAATAATTATTGCTCAAAATAACTGCTTCTACTACTCTCTTAAAGTTATATAGTAAAAATTTTTTGTATATGAACTTTCTATTTCCTTTCTAGCGACAAAAATATGCATGAAATTATGCAGATTTATATATTCCTACCCTTGGTGACCGTATTTGCATAAGTTTGAAATTATCCAGTAAGCACCAAATCGCTTGAGAGCACTCATACATTATAAAAAGAATAAAAAGTAGTTGACAATGGTGTCCCTAGTGTCGACAAAAGTAACTTGAAGACAGATGTGGTGTGGTGTACGGCCGGAAAGGACAATAAAGGATACAAAATCTTTCTGCTTGAAAACAGTAATAAGGCCGCTCTGCTAAATGTGGAAAGTCCAGCATATAACTGTAAAATATTGGTATAAGAATAAGTCTGATCAATAATTTGCCAATCTTGAGCATCTACAGATTAATGCTGCCACCAAAAAGGTATTGAATATGCGAGTTATATCATAATTTTTTTGAAGACGACGATAAAAGAATTTTTGTCATAGCCGAGTTTCGAATCAACGACCAAAAATGTATTAGCCATGACACAAACCAGAACGGCTACCCAGATCAAAACATCGACCACTGATCAGTCCTTCTTTACGTTTATAGGTATTTGACTTGTTAATGAACATTACAAAGGAGTTTGGCATATAATTTCAAGCATAGAAGAAAGTTTTTAGAGGAAGTGAGATGCTGATAGTCAGGTGTGACTGCATTCTGATTATGCTCGAATATAATATAGAGGTCGGTTCCGCTGATCCTTCAAAGTATATCTTATTACACTATTTAGTTGTTTCCACTTGCGCGGAGAGTGACGCTTTGAAAAACTTGTATGAGTTTATACTGAAATTGAACTTCCTTAGCGCAGGATTCTAAGCTCTGGATTGAATTTATAACTCGGTGAGGCCTGAGACAGTCAGAAGGATTCAGCTAGACTTCTCAGTTAAATATCGAAGATTAGAAAGACTACATATTATCTATAGAAACTGTGAAATATTAATTTTATTTCAAGCGATTATAGAGAGTAAATATTTTGAAATTTAAAAAAAAAAAATGTAAATGGTGTTCTCAATCCGCTTGTAATACACTGCAATTAAGCTCTCGGGTATAAAATTCTTTTAAAAACTATAGTTTCGACAAACAAAGTTTCGAAGTAGTCTAACATATGTTAACACATGCACATACATATGTATGAACCAGCAAGCAGACGCCTACTTGAAAACTTCTGATAGCTCAATTGCTCTAACATTACTGTTGTTATTGTGCGGTTGCCTGTCATGGTTGGTCGGCACTAAAAATTTCGTATGGTTGCATGCAGAAAACCGCAAGTGCAAACCATTCAAGCGTACGAAAGCAGGAAGCAACAACAATAAACCAACTGGCAACAGAAACAATAGACGACGGCAGCAAGAACAACAACAAAACATACTCCAACAACAATAGCTAGTAGTTGAAGCAATGAAACAAAAACGAATAGAAAACAAAAGCAACAACAATCCACAAAAGTCAACAACCAAATAGTAACTGATAAGAATGTGTACGAAGGATATTTTCACAAAATCGAAACAACAGGAGGTCCTGGCAATAGCAGCAATAGAAATAACCACATAACATGTACATGTCAGCAGCATAAATGTGTTAGTCGTTGAACAGGCGCATAGATCTACATGCATACAGTGACGCATATATACCCATACAAGTAGAAAATACAAACCCATGCATTTGCACACACACATATGTATATATGAAAGAAGTAGTCAGCCTCAATGAGGAAAGCATAGCAACCAGGCAAGTAATACAAGTTGGCGTCTAGAGGGAGGGAAAGTGAATGAGAGATGAAGCAATAGATTAAATGAATGATAATATATGTGAGTGTGCAAGTTTGAGCGTTAATGTCTACATTTCGTAAGTTAGGCCATCAAATGAAATGAATAGAAGCAAAATCAAAAAAAAAACAACAACAACAAAAGCAGGAACTGCCAAATTCAACAAGCAAACTTATAATAGCTAAATGTGCAAATCGTAAGACATTTGAGACACACACACACATACAAATACATGTCCAAGGATAAACACACTCACACTCGCACTGGCGTACACTCATACAACACACAAACACACATATAGATACAGTAACGACATCGGCATGCATGCGGTTGTGCTGAACAACACCGTAGATCGTAATGTAATGGCTTGTGTAGATAAGCAGTTGACAATGGCAGTGCGGTTCTATTGTTGTTGTTGTAGACTTACTAAAGCAAAAATCGCAAAAGCAATAGAAAATGTGGAAATTTTTGTCTACAGCTGGTAACGTTTGATAATGAAAATTGTGTAGCTGATTGTTGATTTCGTTATTTATAGCGGCTGTTGTTGTTGTTGCTACTGTTGTTGCTGAGCTCAAACAAGAATAACTTAATTGCTGCAATAGCTGTGGTTAGGGTGGATAATGTCAGGAATAATTGCGTGCTTAAAAATTGTGCGAACTATTTGTGGTTGTATGGAAGTGGGAGGCTTTTGCGGTTAAAAAACTGATAATTTGTGGAAAGTGCACACAAGCATAAAAAAATTTATAAATAAAAATAAAAAATTTATAAAATGTATTGTTGAATAAATCATAGCACTAAATATAAAATAAAAATATATGAAATAAAAAATATAAAAAACATTGATAAACATATATAAAAATTATAAAAAAAGAAATAGAAAAAAAACTTTTTAAAATATTAAGTAATTAATTAATTACAATATCAATACCAAAAATAAACACAATTAATAAGAGGAAAAAACTAAAAAACAAATATACAAAAAAATGTTAAAAATAATATTAATAAAATATGTTAAAAATATATAAAAATAAAATAAAAAGTAATTAAAAGATTAATTAATCCTTTAAATCAAAATAAACCTAATTTAATAAACTTCTTTTTATTTTCAAGTCCTAATAATATTTTAAGTAAAAAAATTTTAATAAAATATAAAAAATTAATTAAATCTTTAAATCAAAATAAACCTAATTTAATAAACTTCTTTTTAATTTCAAGTCTTGATAAAAATTTAAGTAAATATAATTAAAATATAATACAATATTAATACTTAAAATTAAAAGAAAAATATCAAAAAATAGTTCTTTAGTCAGCAATAAAAATACGAAAGAAATTACATAATAATAAATTATAAAAAAATATAAAACTGTAAAAAATATATAACAAATTAAAAAATAGATATGTAATTAATACCTTAAATTAAAATAAATTTAATTCAATTATTTTCTTTTTTCTTAATTTCAAGTGTTAATTCCAGTGTTAACAACAACAAATAATTAAAAAAATATAGATACTTGAACTTTCAAAATTTAGAAAAATAAACAAATATCAATAAAAATAAATTTGTAAAAAAAAGTGTGAAATTTTTCAAAAAAAACATTTTCTCGATCTAATCAAAAAAATATACAAAGTTTTTCGAATATGCAAAAATGAAAAAACAAAGGTAAAAAATTTGGAAAAAAGTTTTTTTTTTAAATTTGCAATTGCAAATTGTTCAATTATTGTCACGATATTCTTTAATCAGCTAAGCAACAGCTGCTTTAAAAATATTTTCTAGAATTTTTATTATAATTAAAATAATTATAATCGAATTAGTTTTAAAAAAGAAAAAAGCACAGTAAAATTTATCACCAAAATTTGCAATTCAAGGCATTTTTAAAAGACAAATGAAGAAACTTACAATAAAACAATAAAATTCAATCTTTTTGGAAAAATTGCATCAGAATGCATTTGAAAACATTTTATACTCGTGTGAAAATTGCATACTTTCTAAACTAAAAATTTCTTTAAATATATTTAAACACGCAATTTATAAAAATTGTATCAACAAGCAAAAAAAAATTAAAAAGTAAATAGAACAACAAATTTTTTTAAGACAACAAAACTTTTGAAACAATTTTTATATTTTAATAAATCGCATATTTTTATAATAATATTTTATAAGTTAAAAATTAAAATACTGATAGTCACAGTAAAAATTATGATTATAAAAACGGCTCAAATAATTTAAAAATTGTTATTTTCATATTAAAGACGAAAAATAATTTTCAAATATTTTAAAAATGTTTTTTTCCCCATTGAAAACGAAACATAATTTTAATTTTTAAATATTTTAAGCAACTCATGATAAAATTGCATACTTTCTCAACAAAAAAATTTTATCGTAATAAATTTTTTAGCACTGAAATGCAAATTTCTGATTCCTCAATCGCACTTGACAGCATTCTCACTGATGATTTTCACCCACACAGCTGCAGACCACAACAATCGCCTACATAGAGTCCCACACCATTAGCGGTGATATAAAAATTTAATGCACATAGCAGCGCTTGAGTATTCAGTGAAGCTTAAAATCTTATTCTCTCAGTTGTCCTTGTGCAGCAGCTGCTGCTTCTACAACGCATTTGCATAATCACACCTCACTAGGCGGAATTTTCGCCAATAAAATGATGGAAGAGGGGGATAGGAAGGCGCTAGGCAGGTAAATAAAGTATTTATATAAACAATATGTATATTTTCATATGTATGTGTATGCATGTGTGCTTGAATTAAATTAAAGACACAGCTGGGCGAAGTGTTAATTGATTTATTTACCTGCAAATGATGCCAATGCAAAAGCCAACACAACTGCACTGTCATTCAAATAATTGCACACATATATATGCAAGCCACATGTGCATTTGTGTAAATGTGTATGGGGGTAGCGCTTGCATATGCATATTTGTTACTTAAGCACTTCAGCGTAAGGCAATAAAAACGTTTGCGCTGCCGAAAATTGAGAGGCGCCAAAAATAAATAAAACCATTGGAAATTGCGGATAAATATTTTTCTTGGCCACATGACTATTGGGAAAATCTCAATTGAGTTGATTGAATGCAAATGGGTGAAATTCGTGCATATATGAACA